CTTTTCGATTACCTGCTCCTCATCAGCTTCTAAACTTATATGCATCCATAATAATGATGAAAGAATTAGGGTTATTGACAGCACTAATGTTGTTTAAATAACATCGAGTCAATCAATGGCTCGTGTTCTCGTGTTCTGTGCTATAAAGAAAGCATTAGGCGTGACACCTATAACTCATTAAGTAGTCAGTAGAACAACTGGATCTCGTCTTTCCAGCTCATATCATTTATAGGTACAACATTTTCTTTCTTTTTCTTTTCTCTCTCTCTCTCTTTTTCTGTTATGTGCTGCTTTGTTTCTTTCTCTCGCTTACGCCAGTAAATATGATAGCACCTACTTTTCTAACACCTTCAAACACTGTTCAACTTTGGCTTTGCTACCGACATGCCAATATGTTGTTGTCATAATGAACTGAGATTTCCTTAATCTATGTAGAATTCTATTTATTGATAATGTACTAACTGGATGCAATACTGTAGTAAAAATGCTGAGAATTCCATTCTGTATCACAAGTACTGTTTTGGAATAAAGCAAATTATTATTTATTATTATGAGTAGATTACAGTCCAGTAGTATCTGTAAGTGTGATAATATGCATTAATATAACATTGCACTACACAGTGAAGATCAGACAGATCAGGGAAAATCATAATACAGAATTCATCGGCTTCAGAGAGGAGTAGGGAAGTAATAGTGGCTAGCTGGACCGGTTCATTTAGGCGGATCGCAACGGCCTCTGATGTTTGGAGTATTCTCTACCTGGAAGCTTTTGTTAATTTATTTGGTACCCGATAGACGATGATCGAAAAGGATCCTTCCATGTTAACTAGCTTTGTGGCCGAGTTGAACAAGGTGGTCTAATATCGAGCTGTTGATGATGTTTTTCAGCTGTACCTTCAGGTGTTCCCGAACGAGCACGAAAAATCAAGTTCCTAGATCAACATAGCCAATATAACTCGCTGCACCACAAGTGCAGTTGAATTGGTAGATACACTTAGAGGTGGATAGTCTAGATACTTCATCTGTCACTTGAGGAATCACAGGCGGTCGTGTAGGAAATATGACTTGTAGTTTACCAGCATTAGAAGTTCTTTGAATAGATCTTCCTAACAACTTCGTCACTCGGTGCTTCACCCTTGAAGTGCAGTCGTATATAATGTAAAGGCTTCTTGTTTACAGATAGAGAATAGTCGTTTTCTACTTTCTACTTGGTCATGTGTATTTCCTGATGAACTTTTCTGGAGAGCTACTTTTCCAATACAGTCCTATAAGAGGCCAATCTCGAGCCCGAATAGTTCAGTGGTGGTAAACGTCTCTGACTGACTACAGGCGGCACTAGGTGATGTGGGAGGGACATGAGTTCCTTCAAGGTAATTGCAGATACGCCTTTCTGACTGGTGTAGTACCAACTGGCGCAAAACCTAGGTGCAGTCAAGGCTTTCTGTGGCCGATTGCCTCCAACCATCTAATATTAACAGTTCCAAGTGCACCGTGATGGCGAGCTACCTAGTTTGTTGGTGACCACATTGCAAACTTGACTGACTGATAGCATTCGGTTTGCACCAAAGAAAGGACTAGACACATTTCACGAGTTACTAACTGATGTGTTATGTTGATGTACATTATCGCTACTTACAGATGCTGCTGATCTGTAATCTATTCATACTGTTTTACTGATTTGATGTTATTTAAACGACATTAATGTTGTCAGGAACCCTAGTTCTTTCATCATTATTATGGATAAATTTAAGTGTAGAAGGTGGTGAGGAGCAAGTAATCGAAAAGACTATTCTTTTTTCAATAATTGGTTTTTTGAAATTTCTACTAGGAAATGTATTTCTAAGTTTTATAGCTTAAATTAATGTGAAATACTAAGTTGGAAATTCGTATGATTCTACTCTGCCTGTCTAGAGGCCTATTGTTAAACAAGCTTAGCCTTATACAAACTGAGCCCTGGGCTATCAACTGGCTACACTCTTACTTCTCTAATAGGATGCAGTACACGGTATATAATGGTGTATCTTCCTCTCCTTTGCTTACTGAAGCTGGAGTTCCTCAGGGTGCTGTTCTTTCTCCGTTTTCCTTTTCCTTCTTCTTATATGATTTACCTCTCTCAGATGAAATCAACTTCGTCAAATATGCAGATGACCTGTCTGTATCGTTTCCCATTAAGTCTCAGTCAGACTGTCTCAAATTAAATAGCTTCCTGTCGGACATCAGTCAGTGGTCCAAACTAAATGGTCTCATGCTGAATCCCTCAAAATGCCAGACTATTGACTTCTCCCTTAGGCATAAACGAGATCTACAAACACTAGTAGTACTCATGAAGCCTGTTGCATTGAGGGGACTAAAATGAAACTAAGTCTAATGCAAAATACCTCGGTCTAGTTCTATCTTCCGACCTTACTTGGACATCTCATATCCTAACGATTTCTAAGAAAGTGTTCTGTCTAACTACTACATTAAGAAACTTAGACAATCTGGAATCACCCAAACTCTACTTTCACAATTTGTCAACTCTTGTATCTTACCTATTCTACTTTACTGCTCCCGTTAGTCTTTCCTGGTCTACTGAAAAAGGACTATGCCATCCTGAGAAGGATGTTGCATGGTGTAAAACTCAGTCAGCTCGTCACTACATTAGTTGAAAGGCATCTGAATACTGCGAAAAATGGTCAAAACCATACTCTCCGACCCCCAACACCCCCTCTATTCCCAACTCTCGCCTTGTATCTCATCAAGTAGAACCAGAAATCAGTATAAAATAATCTATGCTCGTACAACCAAGTACAGGAACTCAACGATACCATACTTGGCCCGTGTTCTAAGCGACAGAGACAATGTTAAGCGTGAAACCTATGACTCGCTTTGTTATTAACAACATAATTTTAGGCTCTTTTATTTCTCTCTTATTTTGTATTCTTTAGTGAACTCCTTCTCAAACATACTTAGCTACCTAAATTATTAACATTGGCTTCTTTTTTTGTACTTTACTATATTCCTTCTATTGTGTATCTACTGGTTCCGACTATATTAGCACTATGAGTAGTACAAAATTGTCCTGTCATTAACCATCATGTAATTATTAGTTTTGTGGTTGTTTCTTTTTTTTCGGCAATATTAACTGACAATCATTGGTTGGGAACGCCATAGTCACCACCTTAAAAAATTTTGTATTATTCAGGATTACTCACACTACTACTACAAACACTGCATTAGACCTGACAATAAAAAACAAAACAACAACCCTGAAATGTTATTTTATGATTGTTTAGAGTTGTTTCAACCAAATTAACTGATCATCTTGGCGATAAACATTCTTAAATATCATTTCATAACTTCTTGTATGACTATAGCTTTACTGTCACCATGCATAATCATATCATAGCTTCCACTACCCAATACTGAGATATTATTATATGATGTTTATTTTCCTTTCTACTTCTTGGTATTTTTTCGCATTTATAATTATTTTGTGTTTATCCTGTTTTTTTGCTGTTGGTGTCTTTAGACTTATTATTTTTTGTTTGTTTAATACTCCTTTTAAATGTTTGTAAAATTAGATGCAAATATTGTAGATATGTGCTGAAAATTCCACACTGTACCACTAGTAGTGTTTCTGGAATAAAGCAAATTATTATTATTACTCCTAAGTTCTGGTGACAGATTGCAATGCCTTGAGCTGCAATCTACGAATGTTTGGCATGCGATTCGCTCCTGCCAAATGTAAGATGATGCTACATGACTGGACTGGACTACATTGACTTCTAGCTCAGAAATAGGTAGTGAAGTGGTAGGGCGTGCTGACCACTTCACTTATTCGGGAAGTCGCATCAGCCCCAACGGATTGATCGCTGACGAAATCTCAGCACGGATACAGAGGGGTCGTTTCGCATATGCCAGTTTACGCCGTCTCTAGCGTAGACGTGATATCCGGCTCGTTGTCGACCAAAGGGTGGGTGTACTGCTCAGCAGTTCGCCCCGTCCTCCTTTATGGACTGTGAGACCTGGCCATTGAGAGTGGAAGACATGGAAAGACTTGCTATGTCTTTGATCATAGGTGCCTGCGTTCTATCTCCCGTGTGAGGTGGTGTAATTATGTGAGCAACATTGAGGTTAGCCTTCAGTGGAGTGCTAGGTAAGGAGGGGGAAATTAATCGACGAGGCTGTGAAGCTACATTGACTGAGATGGTTAGGACATGTGTTATGCATGTCCAGCCATCGCCTTACTGACATAGGGTCAGGCTGGAAAAGAGCCAGCGACGGTCAAACCAAAACATAGCTTCATCAGACAATGAAATCCACAACAGTTAGTTTAAGTCACGTAGGAAGATGTAGACTGGCTTCCTGGTTGGGGTCCTCGGGACGGTGAAAACCAATGGAGGCTGGAGACAATCGGTGATATGCCTCAAAATCGTTGTCAATGGCTAGCGCAGATGCATCCACTCCTTGTGACTTATAATTTCCAATGAAACTATATTGTTCTTCGTTATTACTATTCTTTTGTCTCATATCTCTGTTTACTGTCTCTATTTTGCATTCCTTTTTACTTTCTTCTCTTGCTTTGTGTGCTACATACTGGCGACTTGAACTGCTGCACATCGGTGCGAAGTTCTATGTCGAAAACAGACAGATAGGTGACAGTTACTCGATGAATATTGCAATCTAAGACATGTAACGCTGAAATACTTATGTAATGAATCTAATTTGGTGTTTTGTGTAAGAAATTTATTGCCAAGGAGATATGTTTGTTGAAGTTTTGAGGCTGGCTCAAAGTCATTTACAATGAGTCTTTGTAACCTTGAGGACAAGATTATTTATTATATACTGTCTAATTTCTGCACTGAAAACATTTTATATTTTTATTTATGTTCTTCTTCTACTAACATTTGTGTCTAGTGAATCCTACAACTCGAAGTGAACAGCTACAATCACTTAATAAACCCCAAGATAATAAAGACCAGAGATCTCAACAGAATGCACAATTTAACACTATGCCTATGCCTTTAACAACGCTGGATGAAAATCAAAGAAATGCTAAAGAATCATTACATTTATGGCTGTCTGAAACACAACTTAATCAACTATTGGAATACAACTTTTTGGATAGTTATCGTGCTCAAGCAGGTCAAGGGAAGAGTATAGCTGACTTAACCTGGGACACTAATCATACTCAATCTTATCAAAGTTTATGCTTTTGGCCAGATTCAGTTTTACCGCAACAAACCTGTTGTACATTCCAAATGGAATTGGGATTACTACAGAGGACAACAGAAGAATTACATCAAAGTCTGTCAAATTATTTGGGTCGATGGCATAAAGAACTGTTGTCACTACGGACTGCACTGAGAGGTAATTATAAATAAAATGCAATTTTTACCGATTCTGCAGTACTACTGTTATAAAATGCGTCGGTGGCATAGCGGTTAGGACGCTCGCCGACCATGCACATAGTCCGGGGTTCGATCCCCAACCAACGCACTCCTTTACCTCGCTAAGCCAGAAATAATGCTGGTGAAGAGGAAAGGTTGGGCATGAGGCTAGCAACCTCATCCTGTAAAATAAACACTGCTACAGAAACTTCAAGCCACTAGCTTGAAGCCCTATGTTCCACTGGGGAACGTGAAGGAAAAAAAACTATTATAAAATGAAAAGACCGGTACTATACGAAAGTCTAGTCTAGAAGCAGTTTGGTACTTGTGACGTTTTCAAAAAAATTCCTTTGCGTTCCCACTGGATCATAGGGCACCTTCAAGCTCTGACCTTAGAAGTTTCGGTAGCAGTGGTGTTTATTTTTGCGGGATGGGGTTGCTAATCTCATGCCCAACCTCCACTCTTTACCAGTCTTATTAGTGACTTAGCGAGGTAAAGGAGTGCATTGGCCTGGGATCGAACCCCAGACCACATGAGTGGTTGGCGAGCATTCTACCACTGTGCCACCGACGCACGGTTTTTGTAACTAATATAGATAATTGACATGCTATTCAGTGAAATGTGATCACAAGTTATCGATGAGTTTGCAGAAAATGACTTATGAGTTCAATCGGAGTACTTGAATATTTGTGAGAAATCGTCAAGGAAATCATTTGGATGGTACAGGAATTTTCTGTTATAAATTTCTGCAGTCAAATAACATCAACGCCTGAAGTTGCCTGAAGTATCTTTTCAATTTAATTTTCTAATCATACTCGAAATCTAGATGGTAGAGTCAGGTATTCTACTGGAATGTGATAACGTCAGCATCTGTCAACCTGTTTGCAACAGTGCAAACATTTCTGAGAACTATTTGATCATGCTTCTCTACTACCCCATTAAAAGTAGACGTGAAGTCGCACTATAGGCACATTTCTGTTGGCCGAATTGTGGCGAGGGCTACTGATAAAATTTATCAGTAGTATATAAAGAGACATTCATTGGCATAGAAAAATCAAATAGCAGGGAGTTAGTTTTGATGTTAGAGAGAGCAAACGATACAGCATTGCAGAGAAACATAGGAGACGTGAGAGGAACACAAAGAAATGCAATAGGAAGGCCAGAACTAGCAAAACACGGAAGATCTGTGTAAAAGGTGTGTTGAAGTCACGGTGTACATAATTTGGCCATATACGTTGGAATTTATCTTCTGTGATAATTTTTTGTAAGATCACTAATCTTACTTATCAAGTTTCCAGGGTTCAATACAATGTCTTCGAGGTCTTGTCTATATTCAGCGGCAACGGTTTAAAATATCACATATTATTATTGTTTCCTTTAATTCCTAGAGGAACGTAAGGCTGCAGCCGTGCGTCTCCTTTGCGTTCGGTTCTCTGCTAGAGTCTTCACCTGACTCCATGTCTGCCCACACGTTTTCATCTCCTCTTCACATCACCTCCTCAATGTCACCCCACCTTCGCACTGACGACCAACTCGCCGCTTCCCTTTAGGGTTCCACTCGAGCAAAGGCTTGTTCAGTGATGTCACTTGATGGTTGGTTTCCTCAGAGTATGGCCAGCCAATCCATCTCCATTTCTTCCTGCATATTTGTTTCACAATCGGTTCCTGCTGTGTTGGTTCGCTCATTGCCAGAGATCTCTGTTGCTGATCTTTTCTGGCCGGCCATCTGATCTTGAGCGAACTATTGAGCGAAGACAACTGTTGATGAAGGTCTTTAGTTTGTTTGAGATGCTCTTTATGACGCACAGTGCAAGTCTCTGATCTGTATAGTAAGTAGCACTGACTTCACATTGGAGTTGAAAATCCGGATGTTATTTTTGATGCTGAGTGCTGTTGACCTCCACACAGACTTTAGAGTAGTGAAAGCTTGTCTTGCTTTTCCGATTCTTGCTTTGATATCCTCATCAGTTCCGTCTGAATACTCGATTTCATCTCGAAGTTTTAATTAGGAATTATGCTTCAGTGTATTCGACATGATGTGATGAATGACTCAGCTGAAACCAGTGTACTTATTTTATGTTATGTGATCGGGAAGGCATATAAAGCAGGCATCGGTAATATTAAAATGAAATTCCGATTCTAACTTTGAATAAAGAAAACTCTGAGCAGATAATGGCACCTTAATGATTACTCTTCTGATTTACGTCACCTGTGGAAGATAATTTATAAAATGATAGAAAGATTGGCAATTGATGCTTCATTTGTTCACATCTTGAATGGTTCAGTGAGTTTCATCCACATGAGTTGAAGTTTCTGTTCCGTTTGATTCGAGTCAAATGCTTGTTCTAACGCGGTTGCTGCATTCCCCAGTGAGTCAGTGATGATGTTGCCATCACTGAGGCTCGAAACCCAGTGTCCATATTTTCAAACTCCATGGCGTTACCCACTAGACCACTTGGGTCACGAGAGCCACATCTTGTGCAACTGATCATATTAATTATTTAATTCAATTTTAAATTTCCTCGTCGATTGATTGGACCGAAGTGCTCGTTCTCAGGTTGACATATCTGTCGGCTTCTTGCGCAGATGCTTCGACGATGTCTGGGCATGTAGTTAGGATGTAACTGGTGGATGGTGACTAGCAGTGGAATTCAGCCAGGATGCTTATTTCGTCCCGTTTGGGACTCGTTGACTGGATGAACCTGTATTCCCCAGTGAAGTAATGTATACATTGTAACGGAGGAGGTGATCTGGTATCTCTATATAACGAAATTATGTACATCTTTTCAATTGTAACCACCATTTGCACAGATCTTCTGTGTTATGCTAATTCTGGCCTTCCTAATCTTTTTCTTTGATTTCCTTTCACATCTCCCCTCTATCTTCACAGTACTGTATCATATTCTTTCTCTGACATCGAATCTAACTCCAAGCTAACTGGAGTGTTTTCTATGCCGATGAACGTCTCTTTATATACTACTGATAAATCTTATCAGTAGCACATGCGACAACATAACCAAACAACATGAAGTCAAATGTGAAGAAAGACGCTTGCAATGAAGAAAAAATTTTCTTCTGGAAGAATTCGTCAACTAGATAGTTGTACATTCGTGTGTTCATAGTGAATGGGTGACAAAGTCCCAGAATTATTTCCGGTCATAAGTTAAATCAGTGAAATTACAAGGCATAATAAACAAGAATGTCAGATATAAAAGCCATACTAAGATAGATAGGTTGTAGTATAACTATGCTAGGACTTTTTCGGGTTACAGATCGAATTACTATTTTAAAAATCACACAGCAAGGAATTGACTAAATTTGATATGATTATGTGCAGTTGTTCATACTGCATCATCGCTGTGTGATATTTCAAATAAATTTATCCAATATAGAATCACAACTTCATTGACTTTGAAAAGGCCTTCCACAGCGTTGATCGAGAGGTACTTTGGTAACTACTTCGCTACTACATGGTGTTACCAACAACTATTCATCTCATCCAACAGCTGTACGACAATGCTGAATGCCAAGTAATCCACAACGCGAAACTCACGGAATCCTTCGAAGTGAGGACATGAATAAGACAAGGCTGCCTGCTGTCGCCAGTGATTTTCCTGGTTGCAGTAGACTCGATAATGCGACAGACAGTGGCGGGTAATGAGGAAACAAGCATACAATGGACTCACACAAAAAACTCGAAGGACCTGGACTTCGCCGATGATAAGTGTCCGATTTCTCACAAACTGGAAGATATGCAAGCGAAAAGCAACAAGTTGGCAGAACAAGCATCCAGAGAAGATAGGACTTCAGGTGAACATAGCGAAAACAGAGGTGATGAAGATTCCTGGACAAGAACAAGAACAACAGACAACGATCAGCATAAATGGGAGAATTCTGAAAGAAACAACCTCTTTCACCTACCTGGGAAGCATCGTTTCAACTACAGGCAGACGGGACTGACGAGGATATCAAAGCGAGAATCGGAAAAGCAAGACAAGCTCTCATTACTCTCAAGTCTGTGTGGAGGTCAACATCACTCAGCATCAAAAGTAACATCCAGATTTTCAACTCCAATGTGAAGTCAGTGCTACTCACTATACGGATCAGAGACTTGCACTGTGCGTCATAAAGAGCATCTCAAACAAACTAAAGACCTTCGTTAACAGTTGTCTTCGCTCAATAGTTCGCTCAAGATCAGATGGCCGGCCAGAAAAGATCAGCAACAGAGATTTCTGGCAATGAGCGAACCAACACAGCAGGAACCGATTGTGAAACAAATATGCAGGAAGAAATGGAGATGGATTGGCTGGCCATACTCTGAGGAAACCAACCATCAAGTGACATCACTGAACAAGCCTTTGCTCGAGTGGAACCCTAAAGGGAAGCGGCGAGTTGGTCGTCAGTGCGAAGGTGGGGTGACATTGAGGAGGTGATGTGAAGAGGAGATGAAAACGTGTGGGCAGACATGGAGTCAGGTGAAGACTCTAGCAGAGAACCGAACGCAGTGGAGACGCTTGGCTGAAGCCCTATGTTTCTCTAGGAAGTAAAGGAAACAATAATAATAATGATAATATTATAGAATCACGTTCTATCACAGTGTTCAAGCTCTGCACTGACATCCAAATCCTAAGTAAGTTCAGGAATCAGGAAGATCAGCTAGAAAATACATAGTGAGTTTATAATTACTGAAAAACTTGACTGTTTGTGCAATTACTGATTAAGGACCTAGTTATAATTAAATATTGTCAGGAAGTTCCGATAAAAAGAAAACAACCAAATCTAGTAATCGGCATAGGTATTAAAAACCATAAAACGGTTAGGTAAGAGAGGTAACAGGATAATCATAGTGCGTCGGTGGCTTAGTAGTAAAACGCTGGTTAACCGAGGTTGGATCCCCGGTTGACGCACGCATAAACTTCGCTTACCCAAGGAAAAACTCAGGAAGCAAGAAAGGTAGGAGGTGAAGCTAACAAACTTAT